AGATAGATAGATAGATAGATAGATAGATAGATAGATAGATAGATAGATATAGAGTGGTTTGGCTAATTATTTCTCCTATTGGTCCCGCTCCTTTGGTTCGAGTGCGTGTGTATGTGTATGTGTTAGCGTCTATACGCAGTACCGGTCCTAAATCAGAGTTGTAAATAAAGGCTCTGGTTGTCAAGGCTTAATGACTCAAGAGAAAGCCCTGATCAAAATTGCGTAAGTCCGTAAACAAGTATGGTTGAAATAATGAGAGGCAAGCTTGTAAGCATGTAAGTCAAATTACGAAACTACTTGTCTTAACCTCTCAGTCTAGGGTCTTTAACGTTTAACCCGCCAAGGAAAGGCAAGACTGTGGTTGCGTAATCTGACATGACTGGTTTGGTTGATAAGCTTAATCTAACATGTTGGACGAGTTTGAGTGAAGTTAGAACCATCACCGAGCAGACAAGTTGAGTCGCCTTCTTTTGACGGCGGCTAAATGATTTAGCTTATTTCCTAATCTATTAATTTCAATAGCCTCTTATCCTTTTTGTAACTACAGACGCACCATATTCAGCAAATCTACTCGTTTGAGACCATTCTATTTCATGTCAAGTTTCCAGCATGTGTTCGGTCACTTCTGACCGTTGGACTCAGTTTCCTTTACAAGCATTTTTCTGTTGTCCCAATCTTTGTCGAATAGGTCGGCATATCTCACCAACACATATAGGTTTTTAATTTTCTTTTGTCTTAATTGAGTCCATATAAGAGGTAAGATAGAGCCGAATAGTCTTTTTGACCAAGTATTAACGTCAGACTTTTACAGGAATGGCACCCAGCTCTGATGATAGATGAAAGTTCACATCGTTTTCACCAGAAACGTGGGGGAGGTCTCGTGGACTGTGTGAACCTGAACGTCGTATAAAAGCTAAACGGCTGCAATACAACGCGATTTATCCGTCCTCTTCTGGTCAGATCGACCTACGAATCTCTTTTTCATTCACTTTCATACGAAATGAAAGTCTCCCCAACAACCGTTTCAGCATTAAATTGGTCAAGAGATTAGCTTCACTTGTCTCTTTGACGAAACGAAAGTCCCCCAACAATGTTTTATGCATGTTCTACATGCATGTAAAAGGGTCAAAGTGATGCAGGAAGGGGAGCGAATGAAGTCTATAGAAATAAACTAGCGTATGATCCTGTGCTCATGAAGCTTGTTATGGCTTCGTCGATGCGTGTTCGGTATCTGGTGTGGCTAATCTACGAATCACCTCTAACCCCTTTCTCAAACGGAATGAGTGGTATGCCATTATTAATCTACTAAGAAATTCCAACTTATCTTCATATTTATGTTCATATATATATATATATCCATGCTAAGTGTGTTTTGATACTACACGTAGATCCTGAATAAGAACCGCAGTCACCCCGGATAGCATAAGATGATGAAGGTTTGCTAGTTAAACTTTTCCACAATTATATGGCTGGGTTTAAATGCGAAGAAAAGTTGCGTTTCAAGGAATCTCTTGTTTCATAATTGTCGAGCTTACTTTCATTTCGAGTGAAAGTGTTGGGTGAAGATATTCGAAGGTCGGTTCCACCAGAAGACGACGGCGGATTCATCTCGACCAACTGTTGATTGACTTTACTGGAAGATTCATGCTGACGCTGTTGAAGGTTTGTTAGTTGAACTTTTCCACAATTATATGGCCTTGCCTCATAGAAGATATTATCGTCCAGGGTAGACGGCAGTTTCGTCCTCACATCCCTCTCATCAGTACTCCCAGCGGGGTTCTGACCCTGGTGGTGCAACGTATAATCTCGGCACGTTATCCACTACTCCAGACTGCTATGGGTACCCTTAATTCACAGGGAAGAATTGAATTTTAAGGGAGCCTAGGCTTTTCACATACCACAATTCTGTGGTGGGATTGTCAACTATGAAAAGTTGTATTTACAAGACCAATTGACTACATACATATATATTTATTTACATAAGTAGGTTTTCGAAACTATGATATGATATGAGAAGTGTCTTTAATCTATTTCGTCGATGAAATGAAAGATAAATAGAAGATGTGAAGACCAAGATGTTGTGGCCTCGGGTATGGTCGCAGTCTCCTCTCGACTTACAGAAGTGGGTTTACCTCGTTGGGTTAAAGAGTAGATAGATAGACAATGACAGAAATAGGAGTGATAGTGTAAT